GGTATATTTCTTTTACAACCTTGTGCATTTGTATAACTTTTGCAATCCAATTAATTGAGATATTTATAGAAATGATTAGAGTTCATTTATTATGATTTGAATATTTATGGAATATGAATAGAGTTTATTAATTATGATTAATACTTTATATTAGGAAACAATTAATTGATTAAAAATTGAATGGTTGAGATAAGGGTTGTATAGGGTGTAGGAATGGCAAAGGGTGTAGAATAACATCCCTATATATATATATATATATATATATATATTATTAAAGACTTATTGTAATTATTTTAAGAACTTAAAATAGTTTAATTCAAAAAAGTTAATTTTTATAATTAATTAGTTATTTTAATTGATGAGATATTTATAGAAATCATTTGCATTGAATTTAAATTAAGAAAAAAGTTCAAAATATTATTGAGCATGTGATGTWTTTTTGTCCTTGTAAATTCAACACAAGATGCCTCCTCCATCTTCTCAACACTTTCACGTGACCCTCTCATTACTATTTTTTATCTTTCAAACTTTTCATCCATCGCCATTCACCTCCCCAAGATGCCTCCTCCATCTTCTCAACACTCCTCTATTTAGAGTACTCTTTCTTGACTTGCTTCTTTATATTTATTTATCATCCATCGCCATTCAATGGCAAAAAAATGAGGTATTCTAACCAACTTTTTCCTCTTTCTATTTATCAATTTACAATAGTATTTGTTGTGATGAGAACTATTATTTGTATATTTACACTTTTGTAATCATTTTAATATTATTATCGCAAAAGTTTTATTGGGGAGAAGATGACAATGTGCATCCAAACAAATCAACTGGAGCTTAYGRAAACCCWCAACCGTCTGCATTTTCTACCGATACGGTATCTTTAAGTTTCATTTATTCTTGTTAAATTATATGGTATAACWAGTAGTTGTAACTTAAAAAAAGTCCATTTCAGGTATTTAATTCTCRTCAAGATCTAATTGATTGGGTACGCAATGTGGCATTTTCACTTGGTTTTGTTATTGTTATATATACTTATTAATAATTTATATTAATTAAAATATAATATACACAAATAAAAAACAAAAAATAAAATGAATAATATATATTTATTAATAATTTATATTAATTAAAATATAATATAAATAAATAAATAAAATATACACAAATAAAAAACAGAAAACAAAATGAATAATATATATTTATTAATAATTTATATTAATTAAAATATAATATAAATAAATAAATAAAACAGGAAATTAAATAAATAATATATATTAATTTAAATTTTCTTTAATTAATAATAAAATAAAAAGTAATCATCACAAAAAAACAAAAAAAACACAAAAATTTATAAAACACAAATGATTGAAACCTACATAGGGGTGGCATTAGCACATCATAGGGTGCCATTAGCCACCCCCAAGTTTTAAGCTTGAAATGGTTTGATTCTTAACGGTTTTAATTCAGTCTTTTTGTACCAAACTCTTGTAAACATTTTTACCAACATTTTGACATAAATAACTCAATTTTTCGTCAAGTAATGAAACCCATTTTCTCGTTTGAAGCTTTGGATTTTATTTAAAACTGAACAAAACTTTAACTTTCAAAATCGACCCTTAAAACACAAACCTGAAATATAAGGCTACTAGGGTTCGATAGATCTTTCGAAAACGAAACTATAGACATAAAAATCGTGGAGTATGGTTGAGAATCTCACATGAAATCAACGAAAGACCGAGAGTTTCGACTCCAAACTTCGAACTCAGATTTCTCTCTCATTGTATTCTTATTTTTCAAACCATTTGAACCCAGATGATCCTCAACTGGTGCTCTATATACTAATATGCCAAGAGTTTTGGCGTATTAGTTGAAAAATGGGGCCTAAATCGCGATTCTTCGTTGTGAGGTCGTCACCTCCAAATAGAGGTGTACTATTGGCAAAACAGGTCTTTCATCTCTGAAAAAGATGACATTCGGCTCCCTAAACTTTTTGATATTTACATTCAGCCTCTTATTGACGTAATATTTGACATTTTTGGTCCAAAACGATTTTAAACCCTTAATACTTTAACTAAATGATAGAATTGGCCCCTTTCAACTCATTCCTTTACATTTTTGTTCCAATAAAAATAAAATCCACTTTATTTCCTTTTCTTTTTCCCTTCAAATTTTTTTTATAAATAATTATTTACCTTATTTTAGGATGTCACATAAAAACTACTGCTTTAGTGAGTGATATATCAAACAGTCGTGGTGGATTCACGTAGGTGGGGGAGAGGGCCCCACAAAAATGTTAATTTTAAAAAAATAATATATGTACTTTTTTTCTTTTTAATCTTATATTTTTAAGTTTTTCCCAGTCATTTTTTACGGTTCATTCCAGTGACCTAGTCCGTTTTGACGAAACCTCCAGTTCCTCGTCTAACTGTCTTTATCCCCTTATTCTCGTATATTGTTACTGCTAGTTCTTGCAATCATGCTACAATAATAACGTTGGTCGATTGTTTTGTTAAATATATCTCAATTTTCTAGTTTTTTTTTTTTGTTTAAACATAAATCAACTCACCTAATGTTAATTTTATATGTGATCAAACAAATTTATCTGGAAGGAAATTAAACAAATTAACTAATAGTATAACTTGTTACTCGATTAACCGATATGGTAAAAAAAATAATTGAAATCAAAACTTACCTTTTTTGGTTAACCGAAACGTTTAACCTGCAATCCTGATAACCAGAAACTGTTTTCGTTTCGCATGAGTTATTCGGTTTATGACTTTTTATATCCTAGACACCCTAGTTACCTAAATTTATGGACATGCCAGTGCAAACAGTCTGAGAGATGTGATAAAATAATAAAACACAATGTATAGTTTTTATACTGCATCTGATGACAAAGTGATGAGAAACGTGTAGCCCAAAAATATTTGATTCAGCAATACCATCACAATCAACTTTCATTAGCTCTATTGTTTCCTTCTCGAATGGTTCTTGGTTGGTCGAAGGCATGGTATACTTGCTTTGTAAGAAACGGTGAAACTAAAAAACGGTGGGCTAACAGCTTAAAATTTAAGACATCAACTTATAAATGTTCGTAAACAAGAGAAGGCCAACATCAGTACTGACAAAGGAAAGAGAAAAGCATAATCGAGTATTAAGCAATATGTTATACGTGTATGTTTATGACGTAATACGTGTTTTCAGTTATTTGTATTGTATTATGTTCAGTATGCGACAAACTAGTAGTTTTCACATGTTCAGTATAATATTCCAGTTGTACGACTTCCGTTGTTTAAGTTGTTCCCAGTTCCAAATGTCGGAAGATATGTAAGTTGATTGTTTGTTGTTCACGTCATTTTGATGTTCAGATTTTATTGTATGCTCGTAAGCAAAGTTGTTGTAACGGCTTCGTAATTAGAATAACGGGGTTACAAAAGAATTAGGTGATGCATGTGACCAGAAGTTTGTGTATTGTAAATTATAACGATCTAATGTTACTTCATACTTCAAAACTGGTTCCATCTTGAAAAAACTAAATTATTGTTCCATATTTTCAACACAAGTGAAATATAGTAATCTTTGTAACTTTTTCATAATAATCATCGTCTAAATCATTGTTTTTGATATTAACTCGGTTTTAAACGGCTTTGTTTTCTTCTCTTATCCATGATGATGATGAACGAGTATTAACTCAAAAAACATTACCTCTTGGCGTTATAAACAACCATTCATAGGTGCTCTCTCGTAAGGCCTTGACCCGTCCAACATCATCGAGATCCATAAATTAATCAAGATGTTCACAAGTTGATCACCACAATTACATAAGAAACATACATATGGTCTTGCAACTAGTGATGGCCAAGAACCAGTCCGGGGCCAAGCTAGTCCTAATCGGTCCCAAGTTTTCTCATGATCGGCCATAACCAGTCCCCGTTGAAAATGGTAAGACCGGTCAAAATTCTTCATAACCGGTTATAGACCGCCGGTCCCGGCATTAAAAAATATTTTTTTTAATGATATATATTTTTAATACATTATAAAAATTTGTAATTGGATAACTCAAATACACTTTAAAAATGCGTTTCAATATAATAAATTACATTGTCTTACAAAAATACATTATAAAATTATTTGAAAATAAATTTATTTTTATAAATTATTTAAATTTTTGGACCGGACCGGGCCGGTCCAATTTATGGTCCTGGTCCTTATCTTACGAAACTGCCAAAACTCCCAACCGGTCCCGGTTTTCGGTCTTATAACCGGTCCCGGTTTTCAATCCTATAACTGGTCCTTATCGGTCGCGGTTTCAATCCGGTCCTGAGTCAGACCAGGCCGATTTGACCATCACTACTTGCAACTCTTCTTGATGATTGCCCAAGGTCTTGTTTTGTTTGCCTTCGCACATTGGACCCAACCCATTAGTTAGACAACGACTACTTCACATATTAAATTAGTTTTAGCATATTCTAAAATAGAATGAGGTTGAATATAAAAACCATAACTATTTGGCAGTATATATACATATAGTATATTTACAAGACAAAAACTCACATACATTTCCTCCGTTAGACCATTAATGGTAGAACATTTCAACAGGTATGCTATTTTTTCTCTTTCATTCTTCAAGATTAAAGATTTCTCCTTTTTTTTATCTTTTTTTTCTTTATTTAAAAGGAGAGTTTAATGTGACCATCAAAGCATTTTTTTCCCAAATCTTTAAAATTTTATGAAATTTAGAAATTTCTCGATTTTATTTATTTATTATATGAAAGTTTAATTTAATCCTCTAATTTTTAAAAAAAATAATATAACTGTTAGAATGCGAAAATTGAATTGGTCAATAATTAACGATAGTTTGAACGTTTCTTGGTCAAATATTCAACAAGTAGTTCCAAAGTCAATGTGTTTACACCAACAAGCCATCACAAGATACTTCAATTTTCTTAGCAATTGCAATTTGCAAGGTTAGCTTGGTTGGGTTCAAGCAACTTGAAGGCTGCTTCCGCCATGGTTTGGGGGGAAATCGCAAAAGCAAAACTGGAAGGGATGATAAACAAGATAATTATAACAGCAAAAATCATCAAAACAAAATCCTCATTTCGTCTCAAAATTTGCAAATTGCATTCGTAGTAACCAATTAATCCGTCTAAACCTAACAAACTGATGAAAACTGAAATCAGATGAAACAAAAGAATATTTTCATGGCGGATCTAAGAGTATGCATAAGAAGAAAGTATAATAGCAATTACTATAGTTGATTTTGTAGGCAAAATTTTGGATCATTAATTATCAGCAAATCCTTCGTTTTCAATCTTCAAATCCGATTTTCTTCCATACTGCGTTACGCACCCTACTCAGATCTCTCCCTTTCAAAGTCCTCCCAATTCCTTCGTGTACGGAAAACGACGCGATTCTCCCCCTCGCCAAATACTCGTGCGGCGGAATTCGGTTCTCAGCACCGTACAGATCCTCATCAAAGTCATCGTAATCGTTACCTGTCCTACGATTTTCATTCAGCTCCTCCTTCAGTATCATCGACCAGTCAGGAACATCAACCGGCAGCGACATCGCCGTTCCTCTAGCCTCTCCTCTCTTCTCCATCGCCGGTACCGACTTCTTCGAGATTCGAGAAGCCGTTACGTTCTTATGAAAGTCCGGCGACGAGGCGACGTTCCATATGTCGAATTCGTTGAATTCAAACATCAAGTCCGTCCCCATAGGACCTTCCCTTTCGCCGGAGAAGTACCGGTAGTTTCCTCTACCAAGGTAGCTCCTCGATGCCGCCATTAAAATGAAGAGAACGGATTTCTCTGAAAAGTTAGGCTAGATTTAGCTCTGTATGTGCTAAGTCCTATTGCTTGATCACTTTTGTCTGCTTTTATAGAGACTTTATGTTCATCTCTTTCTATAAACTGTTTGTTTGTTTTTTTTGTTTTTTTCTTTTATTTCAATTTAAATTTCTATGCAACTTCTAAATGACTATAATACCCTTTTGATCCTAGAATTGATCACGACCGGCTATATGTCATTGTCTTAACACTATTTAATTTTATAAAATTGATTTGTTAACATAAACAATTTTAGGGAAATGTTATATGTAATTTTTTTTATTAACCTGAATATCTAACACGCTATGCGAACCGACTAATCCTAAAACGACCACATACTTTGCATATAGCCTGGAGTCACTGTATTTGAACGTTCATGGCCACAAGGGAATTTTTATTCCTCCTTAAATGTGAAGTTTAATATGAGATTTGAACTTTTGTATGAATTATGTTTTTTTTATAGAAATTGATCTGATGTATTTTGGTGCATCTTATTATTGTTGATCGTCGATTATAATTGATCTGATGGTGGAGATCATTTATTACCTTTCTCACTATAACTTTCATTCTTACCGGAACTCAATCTTTATGTCAGAATTAGGTTAAATCGTATATTGAGAATGTAAAAAGTAAGTATTGATGTTGATGTGCGTGAGAATTAAATTAGTAGATAAAAATGCAATTTAACAATAAATAAATATAGTTTAACCTACCCTTAATTTTATTGTTGTGTCGGTGTGCTATTTCTAATTTAAATTAAATTAACTAACATAAATTACATCGTTCGATCTTTGAAACAAAAGGTTGTATGTTATATATATATATATATATATATATATATATAGAGAGAGAGAGAGAGAGAGAGAGAAAGAGAGAGAAATCAAATACAAACCACCCAATTTGTACAAATCGTGCAAACTACCCTCATTCATCAATTTCATTGTTTAATCTTATGAAATTTTTTTCATAAAATTGTTCGATCTTGTGAAATTGTTTCATATAATATTTTTTTTTGATGAAGTTGTTTCATATATGGTTATGAAATTGTTTCATATAATACTTAATTTAATAAATCTGTTTCATGTATTTCTCTAAAATTAAAATAATGAAGATGATAATATTCATGATTAACACTTTCCTCAATAAAAATGATTAATCAACCTCTCATAATTACAAAAAAAAAAAAGAAAAAAAATAAAAAATTATGATTGATTAAATGAAGTTTATACGGTTTATAAAAATAACATAGTTTGTAAAGTAAATATCATCTCTTTATATATGCAATCATAAGTAAAAAGATGTAAAATATGATAAACATATGCATATGGCATACCTCAATTCCACCGTTAATATAGTTTATTGTTTATATTAAAATTTATGGCAAAATGCACAAAATAGCAATCTACTTTCATAATTTTTTTTATTATAACATTGTACTTTCAGTTTTTCTTATTATAACAATGTACTTTCAAACTATTTTTTACTAGGACATTGTACTTTGAAAAATTTACCCATTATAGCATTGGGTAACCTTTTGATTTAAATTTACCCATTATACTAGGTTTCCATGCCACCTCATTGTCCACGTAGGCTGTCCACATGTACTATAGTGATGTGACTTTCTTACTACATTATTGTACTTTCAATATTATTTTATTATAGCATCTACTAGTTCTTATTAAACACTGTATTTTTTATTTTAATATTTAGATATTTTACATGTTATTTAATAAATGTATTATCTGAATTAAAAAAATTATGAATTATTCATTAATATACCAATATCAATAAAATTAGTAAAACACAACTTATCTCGCTAATATTTTTAAAAAAAATATATGTTTAAAAAAAAAGGAAAATAAGAATTGATTTTTTTTTACCAAAAAATATTATCTTTTAAAAAATATATTATATTTGTTCAAAAACTTTTTACTTGAYGTATAAATATATTAAATTAATTAGATTTTTTTGAATTATTTATTAATATAACAATATTAAAAAATTGTAGATAACAATTTATTTCGTTAATATTTTAAAGAGAATTTTAAAAGATATGTATTTATTTGAACAATATAAAATAAGAAAATTTACCTTTTTTACAAACAAAGTATATCTCGAAAATAATGTTTCATATTTATTTAATAAATATTTTACTTTAAAAATATTTAATTTGAATGTAACTTAATAAGAAAAAATAAAAAAAAATTAAATGTTTTTTAGATAGTAGCAATGAAAAATGAAAATCACTAATAATAATTTGAAATAAGTTTTTATTTTAATTTTAGTTAAGTCATTAAAATGATGTGTCATCCACATCACCTCATTAAAGTCACACAAGCAAAAAAGTCAAAGAATTACCGGTTTAAAAGGTAACAGGTTACCCATTGTTATTATGGATAGATTTTTTAAAGTACAATGTCTTAATAAAAAATAATTTGAAAGTATATTGCTGTAATAAAGAAAAACAAAAGTATAATGCTATAATAAGAAATTTTATGAAAGTAGGTTGCTATTTCATGTATTTAACCCTAAAATTTATATGTAAGATAATTTAAGATTGGTTTATGGAGTTTTTATAATTGAAGAGAAATTTCTTTAAACAAACACAATGATAAAATAAATAACGAGACAAAAGAATTTGTTAACGTGAAAAAACCGTCAAACGAGGGAGAAGAACGCGGTCATATATCGTCGATGCATTATGGCCGTTAATCAGGGACGTCGTTCTTTTATAATAATGATTACAACGATCTAAGCAAATAAATGCATCGGTCGTGGAAAACAATGTAAAATATTAGTTGTTTTTCATAAGTTGCTCTAATGCTCGAGCATCTTTGTATCCGTATGTAGATGTAGATGTGCTTTCATGAGTCCTTTTGGCTTTCTATAGGTGCTTTTTTTGATGTTCCAATGGTCGATCTATAAAAAAAAACCATTACAATGATCACGGTTGTCCTTTATTACGCCAATGATGATTGGTCGTCGATTACTTTGATAAAATAATGAAGCAAATCTCGATAATGAATGCTTGAATCTGTAATAAACACCATTGGTAAAGGATGTCAGGGTTAGCACATAGTAACGAGCGTCGTTAATATAACATGTCGTGGATAATCACAATTGTAGATGGGTAATCTTCGACCAAGGGTTGTAGATCCTGCGATCGTAGATAACCACGATCATAAGTGGGGAAATTTTTACTCGTGCGAATCTTGGTAACTGTTGTTATGGTCGTGGATGATTTCCTCGACGGTCGAGGATACGCATTCTTTGACCAAAAGATCTATCAACATTGTTCAATTTTTGTTTGTACTTGTATCGATCATTCAAATATCTTTTGACATGGTTTAAATCTTAACTCATGTTCATCATATATATATATATATATATATATGTGTGTGTGTGTGTGTGTGTGTGTGTGTGTGTGTAAAAGGGCCCATTATTAATTCAAGGATGGACCCAATTATTTTTTAAATTGCGACGCCATTTGACTATAAGAAATAAATATAGGGATATTTTTTATAAAATCATCATTGATATTGCTTTTCATGTATCAGGTAATGTGTTCAAGTCTTTTATTACAAATTTTCTTTCTCAAAAACATAATAAATCTAAAACTAAAAACTAAGAAAGTAACACTAAAAAGATTCATATTCGAACTCGAGTCTCGGGTGAAAGAAAAGTCTTGCAAACCAACCATATCAAGAGAAACTTGTATCCTCATTGTAGTTTCGAAATATACATGACGACATACAACAAAGGAAAGAAACAGTGGCACGTGCCACCTATGAACCGTCCCCGCCATTAATTAGATCCTCAGAACTACTCCAATGGTGCAAAAATAAATTGGTTATTCCAAATTTTGTGCTCATCATTAATTTAAAAATTGGAAGTGATATAGACTCACTAATCCTAATATGATCCATTATATTTATTAGAATAATCTATGTTACTTTGTAGAAGCGACATTCGGATGTCCAAAATGTTTTAGTTTCATTTATAAAAACATTTCAAACGTTTGAATTTAATATTTTATTATCTGATCAAATTTTAACTGTTTTAAACTACTTTTAATCCTTATTTAAATCTTTAACCTTAATTTAATCAATTTCAGATAAATTTTATCCAATTCTATCGCTCTCATGCTTTTCATATGATTCTTGATATTTAAAACACATCTACTTCATCGATACATTTTCGACCATGAATTATTTTTAATATAAAATATATATTATAAATAAATAAAAACAAAGGATAAAAACGAGTGTTTGTATCTTCTTATTGTTTGCCAAGAAAGAGGGGTGATTTTGAGAGATTTTGTCGCGAGGCGGGGGGATAAATCTTGGTTGTACGCGTGGTGCATGGAGTAGTGTAGGCTCATAGTGCTGATGGGGACGAGGATTGTGACACGTGTCCAGTCATAATGAAAGACTGGTGGAGCCGATGGTGCATTTGGAGGAGGCACGTGAAGTGGAGCCCCCTTGATCGTAGCGCGTTTTGTCCATGACAGCACCAGGTCGCTCAGTTTTGGCGCAGTCCTCATGAAACGCGACACAACCCCAAATTTTTTTTTTAAATAAATGTACTTTTTTTTAATAATTATAACGATATTCGAGCAATACAGCGAGATACATCTCAATTTCAATGTTATGTTTTATTCTTTGTCTCTATTGATATTATAATATGATTTTATGTGTTTTTAAAAAAACAATAATAAATTTTTTATTTTT